CGGGGCACGAACCCATGTCCCCTGCATCAGCAGGCGGACTCTCAACCACTGCGCCACCAGGGAAGCCCCTGGCCTACAAATATTTACAATATCCTAAACATAAAACAAAATTATTTAAAAATAAGTCATTTTCTATTTAAAAATAAGTCATGAATCTCTTTGAATACTTAAGCAATTTGTGTGATTTGTTTAAAATCCACACAATTGGAAGTTATAGGCTGTTGGGTCCTGTCTCAGATCTGTCTTGTTTGATGCTTTTTAATAATTTTCCTCTGAGAGCTTTTTCTGAGGCATTGTTTTGACTGGTTTGTACTAAATAATCTGTAAAATTCCCTCTGGTAGACTAGAATTCCATCTCTCAAAGGTCACAGGTTCTTGAAGGTGACATCAGTCATAGCAAAGCACTGGAGTCCCACCTCATTTAACTCTGGTCCCAATGCTCCCAGGTGCACGTGGTTCACTCTCCTTTCAGGGAGGGGCTGCTGGTTGAGTGGGAGGTAGAGCCATCAAGGCTCACTCAGGGGTAAAGCCAACCCAAGTTAGGTAGCATCCTCCCGCCACCCTCCCAATACTCTCACCCTTACCTCGCACGACCACATCCTGCCTGCCCACATCCCTCTGCCAGCTCTCGTTCTCTAAGGGTCTGAGTTCTCACCACTCTGGAGGAAGCTCACGCACGGGCCCTGGAAATCTCAGGGAACCACTGCCTCCTTTTCCACATCTTTCTTTATTCTGGATTCTTTTTTTAAATTTTTTCTTATCCTGGAACTCTCAGGGTTAGGCAGAGGTATTATAGCCAACAGGTTGTTCTGTCAATGAACACTTTTTTAAAAAAAGAAAGAATCTTTTTTTTTTAATCTGGTTTATTTATTTGTGGCTGTGTTGGGTCTGCGTTGCTGCATGTGGGCTTTCTCTAGTTGCAGTGAGCTGGGGCTACTCTTCATTGCGGTGTGCTGGCTTCTCATTGCGGTGGCTTCTCTTGTTGCAGAGCACGGGCTCTAGGTACGCGGGCTTCAGTAGTTGTGGCATGCGGGCTCAGTAGTTGTGGCTCACAGGCTCTAGAGTGCAGGCTCAGTAGTTGTGGCACACGGGCTTAGTTGCTCTGTGGCATGTGGGATCTTCCTGGACCAGGGCTGGAACCTGTGTCCCCGGCCTTGGCAGGTGGCTGCTTAACCACTGCGCCACCAGGGAAATCCCTCGATGAACATTTTTGTCTCAACTTGAAATGGTGGAGAGGGTACAAAGTAGTGCTTGGTTTTCTGCATCTTCATTGCCAAAAATGTACCTTCTTAGCTTCTAGCTCAGCGCCTACTTCCATGGCCCCCTCTGGCCTCTGGGACCAGGAGTTTTGGGACTAGGGCTGGAACCTTAGCTTTGCAAACAGAACTTTCCCAAGAAGGACCCCATGTCCTTTCATCTTCCCAGCTTTCACTTAATCTATTTTCTTACCTGGCAGAGCCTTGTGTCCTCACCTTGGCAGTGCTCTCAGTCTGTCAATCTCCTACACCTTCAGGCTTTCTCTCTTTTCTCACCAGCTTGTGCTTATTCCATTCCATTCCATTCCATTCCCCATGTCCTCAACTCCCTGCCTTCTACCCTGACTTGCCAACTCCCAATACTAGATCACTCCAACACTCTGTTTACTCAGCTTCTCTTTCCAAGCTTCCAGACGCTCCTGTGGAAAATCATACAGTTGTGCTTATTGGTGCTCTTACAAATTTATGGGCCTTTGGCTCAGCTGAGCCCCCCATATGCTCTCTAGTTGGTGCCCATTCAGTAGTGAGTCTCAAACTTCTTACTGCAGTTTCCATTCCTAAATGTCAGCTTATGCCCTTACCTTGTATGTGACTGAAAAACATGAGTCCATTGAGCTTAACTGCCTTGACTTCCTTCAGCTTCCAAACCCACTGACATATTCACCCTTCCTCCACTGTCACCAAGAAAGTGGAGCTTCTGCATGTGTGCTGCACTGATCAGCCATCAGTCCCTCCCTGTCTGCTCCTACATCCTTCAGAATCTGGCTTCATCATCCATCCTCTAATCTTAAAAATTTGCTTTTTCTGTTGCTTCCTTCTCTTTGGTCTACAGTTCTGCCCCAATAGTCTTGCCCTCACTGAGGCTACCACTCTGTAATTTTCCTTCCATTCACAACTGGACTCTTGGGATGGGAAGATGACATTTCTTTCTTCTTCTTCCTGATCCTCCCTAATCCTCATCCCACTGCCATTTGGTTTATCCCCTTTTCCATCCTGCCATTTGCACCTCTTCACTCCATTCTTATGAGCTTATACTTACTACTTACCAGTTGACAGGTGAAACGGTCAATCTTTATCCCACTTAATCCCTCTGCTGTATTTATTTAACCCAGTTACTCACATTCACCTCCTTTGACTTTAAACAGATTTATTGAGGTATAATTTACACAGCATAAAATTCGCCTATTTTAGGATGTAATGATTTTTGGTATATTTATAGAGTTGTGTAACCATCACGGCACTCCAGTTTTGGTATATTTCCATCACCCCAAAAAGAGACCTGGGGTATACTTTTCACCAATCCTGGTTTCCACCACCCTTCCCCCCTGCCCCCAGCCTCAGGCAAGCACTACTCTGCTTTCTGTCCCTATAGATTTGCCTTATTTGGATATTTCACATAAGTGAAATTAGCCTGTCTACTTCTTTATCTGTTCTTTTTCCTGATTCAGTTCTCTGTTCCTAAAGTGTGGTGGGTTACAGAGTTCTTGCCTGTGCTCCCTCTTTTGTACATTCTATACATGTTCCCTACAAAAATCACCCACCCTCCCACAAACACACCTGTAGTTTCAATTTCCCAGTAACTCAAAACTGGTTCCTCAACCCCAGCTCTTCTAAGCTCCAGGCCAATGCTTTCAACTTCCAATCATACTAATTACCTATGTATTCTGTAGCTTCCAGAAGCTCAACAAAACACAACTGGTTATCTTTTCCTCAAACGTGTTTCCTTCTGTATTTTGGCCTTGGATTAATGACCCCACTGTCTTTCAGAAGTCCTATGTAGAAGTTCAAGGTCTGTTCCGATCCCTTTCTTAATAAGCAGTTATTTTTGTACTAGGCCCTGAACTTTTCATTCCTGATCTCATTTCATCCTTATAATATCCCTATGTTTATTTACTATTATCCCTACTTTGCAAATGAGGGAAACTGAGGCTCTGAGAAGTTAGGTATGTAAGACCAAACAGGTAGTAAACATCAGAGCTGAAGTTTAATTCCCAATCTCCTCCCTTTTGTTTTTTCAAACATCAAAGGCCATGCTAGGGGCTTCCCTGGTGGCGCAGTGTTTGAGAATCTGCCTGCTAATGCAGGGGACACGGGTTCGAGCCCTGGTCTGGGAGGATCCCACATGCTGCGGAGCAACTGGGCCTGTGAGACACAACTACTGAGCCTGCACGTCTGGAGTCTGTGCTCCGCAAAAAGAGAGGCCGCGACAGTGAGAGGCCCGCGCACCGTGATGAAGAGTGGCCTCCGCTTGCCACAACTAGAGAAAGCCCTCGCACAGAAACGAAGACCCAACACAACAAAAATAAATTAATTAATTAATAAACTCCTACCCCCAACATCTAAAAAAAAAAAAAAACGCCATGCTATCCCATGTCTGTCTTTAGAGACAACCTAAGAGATTTCTGAATTCCCCTTCTTCATTTGTACCATCACCTTCTCAGTTTAGGTCCTCATCATCCCTTGCCCAGCTTAAAGAAATTGTATCTGCCTGTTCTCTCTGCCTCCTATAATTCTCCCCTTTATGCCTTTCAGAAAATGGTCCTTCTAAAGCAAATCTGATCATGTCACTTCCTGAAATTCAGGTTATGTGACAAATGTAATTTATGAAGCAAGTTATAACTTTTACCCCAAAATGGGTAATGTATTAAAGTTGATCATTAATTCACTTAAAACGAGAAACTAGTCCAGATTCAAGGAAATTCCTGTAATGACATCATGCTCACTTACATTCAAGGAGGCTTTTTTGAGCAGTTGGAAAAGGAGGATGAATTAAAGTTTTTTAAGAACTTCACTTAACCGACAGCGCGTGATATTGACACCCCCGCCTGTAGCATACTATCCCATTGAAGTACTGATGGCTGTCATGCCGATTCCGAGTCATTGTGATAGCTGTCAGTTGTTTCAAACTAACGAGAGTGTGTCACAATTTGTTAAGTATAGTAGCAAACGAGTTGAAACCTACTGACAGCTTTATGCCAACACAATGATCACTCTCACTTCTTTCTTACCACTCAGGTTGTGCTATCTGGACGTCACCCACACCAAGATCATTTATCGTGCTCTGAACCAGCCAGTGTTTCACACTTGTGCCTTCACACGTGTTATTCCTTCCATCTGGGGCCCCCTTCTCCTGTTCCCTCTCACCCTGGACAATTCTGAAAGACACAGATCAAATGTCGCTTCCTTTGGGAAATTCTTGCCTGTTTACTTTATGTAGAGCTGGTGGTCCCTCCTCAGTGTGCCCAGAACACTGTGGGCATACTTGCCTTTGTGCTGTAATAATCTGTTTTTGGTTCTCTTTCTCCCAGAATTATCTTTGGGAACCCAATGAAATAACTGCTAAATTCTTACTACGGAATCTTAGGAGACTCCATGGAGGAGGTAGTATTTTAACTGTCTCATGAAGGATTAAGTAGGAGCAGAAAACTGAGGAAAGATTATCCAGGGCTGAGGAAACAAGTATCAGGAAAACAGTCATGAATAAATGGACTATGGAAAAAGAGGAGACAACTTCTGTTTCTAAGTGCCCTTTGCAGGCTCATTAAATTAAGAATGATATTGAAATCTTGAAAATATAGTGACTAACCATTGCCTGAAATTTCTTATCCCATTTATATTGCTTTCAGTAGTTATGAGCTCTTTGAGTCTTATCCTATTGGCCATTAAGTATTATTCAAAATGCATAAAAACTTGTGTCAAAAATTTTCTACCATTTCTACAATACCCAGTTAAATGATCTGGTTCTGCAGGCACATCTGATTTTATATAAGCTCTGTCCAAAGAGAGTGATTTAAAATAATCTAGTATTGCTTACCTTGGTTAGCCAATGAGAAAATATAATTCTAGGGAGGTGAAGTAATGAACCTCAGTAAGATTTGCTCATGGAGGCAGTTTAATATAAATACATGTACAGAAAATTCATAATTATTTGTACTCTTTTGTTCTGGTTTATCACTGATGAGAAGCAAATTGTGATTTGCTAATTATGAATAACTTTCCACTGACTTACATTTCTTTCTGATTTGTATTCCTTGATTGTATATGTTTACCTTTCTCCTGAATTATAAAACTCAGCTTTAAATGGAACCACATTGGTCTTTGACATAAGCTGTCTCCAATTGCAAAACATACACATATATAATACATAAATATGATTTTGGCTACAGTAAATAGGGCTTCTGGATAATAAATTTGTCAGGTCAAGTTACTACCCAGTAGCAGTCAGTGTGATCTGTCAACAACCTGAATAGATTTTCATGTCTTTTCAGTAAGTTGACAATATTTAATAATTATTTAAAGAATTCTGAAATGTAGGTTCCAATTAAGTTTTATATAGGCTTTTATTGTAATCTAGTATTTTTCTCTTTAAAAATGTTTTTAAGTGTTCTTAACTTTCATTTATATTCTTTTTTTTTTTTTTTAAGGTAGAGGAGCAATGTCAGGGCCTAAGGGAGTTTTACCAAACTGATATCCTGCGAAAGGAAGAGGGTGTTGCTGAAGTTGAGCGTCACTCTGACTCAGTGGAGAAGCAGTGGCAGCTGTTTTTAAAGAGGAGCTTTTTAACTCAAGACCTCGGGCTCAAGTTCCTTAATTTAATAAATATGGTGAGAATAACATTAAATGAGTCATACCTTCTTCAAGGATCACTTTTCAAAGTCAGAATCACAAATTTAAAAGTTCAGTTGTCTGTTATTCAGCTGTGCTGGTTTCGGAAGTTCTTTTTAGCTCCATTCAACCTAGAATAGTCCTGAAGCCCAGCACTTATGTGCTTCTTTGCTCCTAGACCTCTTGTGAGTTTATCACATGAAGGCTAGTTTATCTATTAACAAAAAAGAGTGACTATAATCCAAATGTAACATTATTATTATTACATAGAGTCCTCAGAAGATCACCCAGAAGTTCTGAGTTATGTTGAAAGCATGCAACAAGATCCTTACAAGATTTCCAGAGGTGAAAGATAACATCTAGGATGAATCTTTATTTCAAAGAATTTCTTACAATACCAGATCTTTTCATAGCAAAGCTCCATTATATTTAGAAATGTACCCTAAACTTTAGTTGTTAAGTTATATCTGTAAAGTATCCTAGAATCGACCTCAGGCCCATATAAAGTTCTCCACAGAATTCTTGAAAGATGGTTAATCCACCTCTCCTTCAATATCTCAAGTATCTTCCTTACGAAACTGTTCATTTTATTGTTAGAAAATGCCAGCTGCTAGGAAAGTTTTTTATTTTTTAATGTTAAGTCGAATCTGTCTTCATATCTGATTCTAACCCTTTGTAGCTCCACAGGGGGAGAAAAATGTATGCATATTTCATTTCTCTTACACACGAAAGTTTTTCAAACCTTGAAAACAGTTGCAAAATCTAATTTGAGTCTTTTCTGCAGTGAACTAGATATAAATCCTTTCTATCATTTAGGAGGTAGCTTTCTCTCTTTCTTCATCCTAATCCTTCCTCCCAGAATTTTCCATGATTTGTCAATATCATTCATAACATGTAAACAAGAAGTAAAGTACAACTTCAACACAGAGTACAAAGTGTACATCATTCTTTACTAATGAGACCTAAGGTTGTACTAGCACTTTTAGCAATAATTTCACTTTGTTGGTTCATATTATGCCTGTGATGGAAAAACTGCAATTGCATTACATTTTTATTGCAGTCCCTGCCAGGCTAGGTCTCTCCCATTTTATATCCATGTCGCCTATTTATCTTTTACATACAAATGTGAACCTTTATATTTATTCCTATTTTATATCACTTTGTTAGTTTTGACTCATGATTCCATCTTGTTAAACTAATTTTGAGCCTGCTATCTATTGCATTAGCCATCTCTCCTGGGTTTAATTCTGTATATTAATAAGTAAGCCTCTTGTGGCTGCAATTAGATCTTTAATAAAAGTGTCTGAGGGGCAGATTGCTACCCCAATCCATTAAGTAATCAATTGATTAACCAGTCTTTTAAACAATCATGGACATTCCCAATAGTACTTTATTTTAACCACTTTTTCTTAAGTCTATAATGGAAGACACTGCTCGAAGGAAGGTCTATCTACCTAGTATCCTATCAATTGTATAATATAATTTGGCAAAAATTAGTTTGACTCCTAGTGATCATAGGGTTCTTTCCAAAGTGCTCACAATCTGCTTGATCAATGATGACTTTATTGCCCTGGTTTTCAATGTCAAGCTTACTGACAGGTAAATCACATAGGCCATCTTTTTCCCCATTTGAAAATCAGGGCATTTTCCTTTCTCTAATTTTCTGGCCCTTCTCCTATTTTCTGTAGATTTTCAAAGATGACTGACATCTGCAATTTTCTCAGTACTCTGACATGTGATGAATCTCAGTCTGGAGCCTGAATTCATTTGGAAGAGTTGGGCTCTAACTACCCTCATCTACTTTGAGCTACAATTTCCTCTTTATCTTCATTGTTTCAAACTTTGTTGTTTAAAGACCGGTCTTCTTAAATCTATATGGAAACAAAATATGCATTAAATAATTCTAATTTATCTAATACTATCCGTATGCATCAGAGTAAATTTGCTGAGTATTTTACCTATGTTCTTATGTTATATTGGTGCTTTACTGTTAAAAAAATTGTTATTTTTTACTTGGAACATTTAGAACATATCTATCTATCTTTAATATTTTTACTCTTTTTAAGTATATCTTTATATCCATCTCTTCATTGTGTATTTCTCCAATTTGCACTCATAAGGGAGTTTACATATTTGCAAACTGCACTTTTTTTGTCTATCCTTTTTCTTGCTAAATTCCTTTTGAGAAATTATATTTTTCAGTTTTAGAATTTCCAGTTGGTTCTTTTTTATTAGATTTATATTGCCAGTGAAATTCTCCTTTTTTATCTTCTCTTTCTCCATCTTTCCTATACTTTCGTGACCGTATTAATCATGGGTATTTTAAAGTGTTTGTCAGCTAAGTCCAACATCTGGATCTGGAATTGTTTCTATTGTCTACTTTTTCTCTCGGTTTCCAGCTCTGTCGTCCTATCTTGGGATGATGAGAGAATATCTATCAAATGCCAAGCATTATGTATAAAAAAATTGTAGGAGTTCCAGATGGTGTTATCTTCTTTCCTTAGGTGGGTGTTGGTTGAAGATCACTTAAGCCAATCAGGAGCTGGTGGAGTTGAGTCCGGAGTACAGTCCTGTCAATGCTCCATCTATTCTGTTGACCTTGGGCTCTCAGCGTTTTCATGTTAGAGCTTGGTGCATTCTCTGAGGTCTCTCCCCCTGGCAGGTCTCCAATTTGGGGAGTCTTGGGAGATGGCTGAAAAACTTCCACTCTGCATTTCAGAGGCTTTTGCTTGGGTTTTTTAATCCACTGCCCTGTTCAGTCCCAGTATTTTGTCAATGTTCTGAGATGAAGATGAGCTGTGTGCTTGAACCCCCATCCCCACTAGTGTCTGTCAAAAGTTCTTTTGTTTTCTCTGTTCCCCAGTAAAGCCTCATGATCAGCCTCCTGTCGGCATACAGAATTGGGAAATGCCCCTGACTGGGGTAGGAGAGGTGACAGGGGAGCTCACCACTCTCAGGTTCTTCCTTCTCTGGAGTCTTGGCCTATTTAGTTCTTTTTGCCTTCAAATAGATGCTTTCTGCATTTATTCCAGCTTTTCTAGTTGTTCTAGGCAGAAGCACTGCTCTGCCACTAGCTACTCCATCCTACCCAAAAACAGAAGTCCTTTATTACTTATTTAGAATGTTTAAGATTGTACAGTCAGATTTTCATTTAAGATCTGTAGCAGGAATCCATTCAAAATTATATTTTGTGTCTTTGTCTAAATAAACTTAGGTTTCATGATATTCAAATGTCCATTTACAGTTTCCAGCAACAGTGTGTATTTTACTACATACCTTGGTGGTCTTGTATCTTGACATTATAAACATGGCTACTTTACCCCAAGGTCCTTACCACTGTCATATGATAAATAAATTCCTCCTCATTGATGAGAATTAAGGTCCACGTAATGCTTAACTTTATTGGTTCAGTGACATTCTGCGATATGAATGGTAAAGCCATTTGGTAAAGCCAGTATAACACAATTTTTATCCTCTTCATATCTTTGGGACCATTAGGCTTTTAAACAAGCATTATTGCTGAAGTGTGGTAACCAGTTTGGTTATTAAGAAGGAAGAAGTCCCACTGGCATTTCCCACTGAGTGTTCTGCTCTTGATTGGGTTGCCGAGGCTCAGATTTTCAAGCTTGAAATTAAAAAAAATGTTTCAGTGCATCTAAAAATCATCACAATCAGAAAAACTCATTTAGGGCAGAAATCTGGCAGACATCTTGATGAAAGTGCCAATTTACTAATTTATAGTGGTGAATACCAAGAATGCTACATGGAATACTGCCTTCCAGTTATCAAGATACCTGAAAAGCAAGATGTCAGAAGACCACTCATTGTGTGTGAATCTACATGGAAAATGGATAATTTAGTGCCCTGTTTAGATTATGGCAAATTTTCCAATGACCTTATACAGAAGTAGAATGAGTAGTGTGTTTACTAACTAGACCTCAGGCAAATTATTTAATCTTTCTGAGTGGCCAAAATATTTGTTTGCCAAATGCATAATCACTCTTCTTGAATCCTGCTAGCTAGGCATCAACAGATCCTACCATAGCTCTCTTTTCTAGGCTTCATTCAGAGCATACTCTTCCGATTGTAGTTGTCATTGACATGCTGCAAATTCCAAGTTTACATTCAGTTGTGTATTATATAACATTTTGATTAATATTTTCTTAATAATATGTGAAAGATACCCTATCTTTATTTATAGCATAGATTAAAATATGATTTGCTTTAGGGCCTGCTGTGGCTGTCTAATGCCTTTCATAATATTTGTGTCTTGTTCATCATAATTACAGAATACATCATTTTACTACTAGATCCCCAAATTCATAGGAGAGGTCACATTTAGCACCTGCAGGTATTTTTTCAATTAAATGACACTTTATAATGTCTACATTAATACAAAAATATAAATGCAATATTAATGTCATTTAAAATAATTTTAAAATAAGATGGCCTGTGATTTAAAATATCCTGTTACATATTCATGGCACTACCTTCTGACTATAATCTAAAAGGTCCCGTGACTTTTAGATACCCAGCTGTCACTGCCATTGTAGAAATTCATGTGCAATTGCTCCTTAGAAATTCAAGGATTTACTGAGAAAAGCTGGCCATCAAAGTAAAAATTACTGTTTTGCCAAACAAATATTCTTCTGCATTTTTTTGATGTTTGACACAAAAAAAGCCTATTGTCTTACTCTCTACCTCTCTTATCCTTTTGCCTCTGATTGAATTTCCAGTAGTTTAAAATCATTGTTTAAAGGATTTCAAATCAGAGATCTAGAACATATGAAAGTTGGGAAGAGAAGTCTTGGAATTTAGATATTGTTCTTCTGGTGCACAATAGAGATACAAATATAGAGATACAGTTGGCCCTCCATATCCACTGCTTCCAAATCCCTGGATTCAACCAACCTCAGAGCTAAACATAGTACACCATCCACAGTTGGTTGAAACCTGCGGATATGGAAGGCCAACCATGGGAATTGAGCATCCACTGGTTTTGGTATCCGTGGTGAGTCCTGGAACCAGTCCCCGCCTCCCACCCTGCTGCCATGAATACCAAGGGACAACTGTATATAGAGGTACATTTCAGTTCTCACAAAACGGAGTAACTTGAGGAACTGCTCACAAGGAAAATTTTAAATAATTGTAGTATTGAGTTGGCCAAAAGGTTTGTTCGGTTTTCTCTGTAAGATGGCTCTAGTAGCACTGAGTTGTCTTTAACTTCATTTGAAACAATTTTGTTAGATTGTATATGACAGCTGTCATATCAGCGTCATTTAAAAAAATACTTATCAAAATTGGTGAATTTTTATGTAGCCGTTTTAATACTGAAGATGGAAAAAAAAGCAACATTTTTGGCATATTATGCTCTATTATTTCAAGAAAGGTAAAAGCGCAACTGAAACACAAAAAAAGATTTGTGCAGTGTATGGAGAAGGTGATGTGACCGATGGAACATGGCAAAAGTGTTCTGCGAAGTTTTGTGCTGGAGATTTCTCGCTGGACGCTGCACCATGGTCGGGTAGACCAGCTGAAGTTGATAGCGATCAAATCTAGACATTAGTTGAGAACAATCAACGTTATACCACATGTGAGATAGCCGACATACTCAAAATATCCAAATCAAGGGTTGAAAATCATTTGCACCAACTTGGTTATGTTAATCGTTTTGATGTTTGGGTTCCACATAAGTTAAGTGAAAAAAACCTTCTTGACTGTATTTCCTCATGCGATTCTCTACTTAAACATAACAAAAACGTTCCATTTTTAAAACAAATTTTTACGGGTGATGAAAAGTGGATACTGTACAATAATGTGGAACAGAAGAGATCATGGGGCAAGCGAGATGAACCACACCAAAGGCTGGTCTTCATCCAGAAAAGGTGATGTTGTGTCTATGGTGGGATTGGAAGGGAGTCCTCCATTATGAGCTCCTTCTGGAAAACCAAACGATTAATTCCAACAAGTACTGCTCCCAGTTAGACCAACTGAAAGCAGCACTTGACGAAAAACATCCAGAATTAGTCAACAGAAAACGCATAATCTTCCATCAGGATAATGTAAAACTGCATGTTTCTTTGATGACCAGGCAAAAACTGTCACAGCTTGGCTGGGAAGTTCTGATTCATCCGCCATATTCACCAGACATTGCACCTTCGGATTTCCATTTATTTTGGTCTTTACAAAATTGTCTTAATGGAAAAAATTTCAGTTCCCTTGAAGACTGTAAAAGGCACCTGGAACAGTTCTTTGCTCAAAAAGATAAAAAGTTTTGGGAAGACGGAATTATGAAGCTGCCTGAAAAATGGCAGAAGGTAGTGGACCAAAAGGGTGAATACGTTGTTCAATAACGTTCTTGGTGAAAATGAAAAATGTGTCTTTTAGTTTTATTTAAAAACCAAAGGGACTTTTTGGCCCACCCAATATATACAATGGGATAGTTTAGAAAGAAACACAGACCCACAACAATCTGCCCCCTCATGGTCCCTGATACTCAGATATTGACGTATTCTAATGTGTGTTAAAATAAAAGGTGGAATCCACTTCAAAACTTATGCATTAAAATAATCTCAACTTCAAAATTTCTGGATCCCTGTGCTCATTCAGTCACCCTTTAAGCCCCAGGAAATGAACAGATCCTAAAGGAGAGGACTGAAACACCAGTGGGGTCATGAAGAGCTCGGGAGCTGACGTCCAAGCATAGATTATGGGTTCTGAGAGCCCAGCTGTGCCTGTGCACAGACTTTTCAGACTTGTCTTGATATCAGAACTGTGTTCTGCTTTGGCTATGATGAAGCGTTTGCCTCCTCAAATAGTTGTATGCAAAATGTTCTATTTCTTGGGAAAGAAAAGCCATTATATAATCATTAATTTCACAGGCAAAAGCAAATGAAATATTAAATGTGAAAAATGAAGTACACATTATGGAGAACACTATGCAAAGCCAGAAGGCAGAAAGGGAGGAACTCAGCCGCCTTCGGATAGCCTGGCAACTTAAAGCCGCTGCAAGCAAGCCCGTGAAACAGCGATGGGGAGCGTTCAAAGAGCAACTTAGAAAGGTGAGGGAACAGGCAAATGGGTAGTATTCAGCCTTAAAAGGGAAGGAAATTCTGACACATGCTGCAACATAGAGGGACCTTGGAAACATAAGTGAAATCAGACGAACACAAAAGGATAAATATTGTGATTCCACTTATGTGAGGAACCTCGAGTAGTCAAATTCACAGAGATAGAAAGCAGAATAGAGGTTACCAGGGGCTGAGGGGAGGGTGAAATGGGAGCTAGAGTTTAACCAATACAGAGGTTCTGTTTGGGAAGATGAGAAAGTTCTGGCGATGGATGGTGGTAATGGCGGCACACCAGTATGAATGCACTAATGCCACTAAGTTGCACACTTAAAAATGGTTCAAATGGTAAATTTTGTTATGTATATTTTACCACAATAAAAAGAGGGCCTGTGCTTTTGTTCATTGGTGGTTTAGAACCACAGGCTCACTCTAGGTAGTGAGTGCTTTCATGGTAATTGAAAAGTTTGATGACACACCATGTCATCACTGGAATGATTATGACATATTTGCTGGTGGTATCAAAGAAAACATATACATAACTATCTAATGTCTATTTCAGACTACTCACAACTTAAAACTTCTTCAGGAAGCACTTATGCCTGTGTCTACACTTGACCTTGGAGGGAGTCTCCAGACCATTTTAGGTCTACAGAAAAAATGGAACGAAATGAAACCTCAGTTCCAGGTGAAGAAACAAATTGATGGCCTTGGGTGAATGAAAAAGTATTAAAAACTGTTCAGTCAATGCTCACCTAATTAATTTTTACAGTCTGATGAATTACAATTTTTAAAAAACAACAGCATTGCTTGTCTAAAAATCCACTTTAAAAACACATTTTTCTTCCTGTTTAACTGCAGTGTGCTATATTTGATGATACACAAACATTTGGGCTACAAAAGGTCCTTAATATATTCTTATCTTAGATGATTTTAATTTAAATTAGTTCCTTATTAATGTATTTATCATATATATTTACTCTAATTCTTTTCCTAAGGGGTATAGACATGTTTTCGATTCAGACATCTCAAAACAAGGATGGGCAATCTCTGACACAGAGGTTCTGCTGTCCTCTGTCCCTGAAATTATCACTGTGATGTCATTGTGCCCACCCACTGGCACCCCAGGCTCCTACCACGATTCCAAGAATTTTGCTGTGCTCCCCCTTTCTCCCTCTCAGAGAGCCCTCAGAATGTGAGAGAAAAAACCATGAGTCATGTTCCCAGGCCCTGATTGCTAGTGCATTCCATACCCCCGCCCCCACCTCTTGCCATTCCTGAGCTTGACACAGCTGCCGAAAAAGTTTGCCAGTCACGTTATCCTCCTGCCTGGATTCGTGTGCTTTGCTGCAAAGTTAAGATACCTGTGTTTCTGTTTGTCACTACTTTGCAAGTATTGGCTTTAAAGAAACCCCTAAACAGAAGTTTGAAGATTCCTTTAGGGAATATCTAATTTATGTTCCTTTAAGACAAAACTAATGTAATACATAACCACCCCCCACTCACAAAAAGCACACACACCACTGTGGCCCACAGTGAACTCTTTCCTCCAAACTCTTAGAAAATTCTCTTGGCCTATCTGTTGGTTTCTTTGTTATACTCTGTATCATATGTATCTGCATTTCGTGTGCACATGTCCCTGCGCATGAGTAAGTGTGTGTGTGTAAATTCCTCTAAATCAGGAACTGTTGTCAAGCTTCTTTAGCTCTGTCACTGTGATGTGCGTATATTTGATGCCCACGTACTTGATTTCAACATGAAGACCCTTACTAGGTCACTCTTCTGCAAATTATCTCCTTAGCCTAAATCATTTCCATTACTGTTATCCTTGACTTAAAATCCAGCTCTGAAATTATAGGAGCTTCCTCTTTAAGCTGTGCACCAGGATCTAGATTCCTATAAGGGCTATCTGAGCAGTTCTGGGTAAAAAGAAGGTGGCTTATCCCTCCCTACAAGTGGTGGCTATTTGTGGATTCTGGGATGACTGCTTTTAAAGCAGCATAGCTACTGTGCTGCTCGGCTGGTGGTTCATTTTGATCATTCTTTTATCACAGAGGACAAATAATTCCCCCAATATATTTTTATGCTTGTCTTCTTTTGGTGTTCTTATCATACCACCTGATTCTGGTTGTATTAAATATCACAGATGGTCACAGCCTCATAGAGTATCTAGAATATATTTACTTAACAGATGACCAGAATATTTGGTATGTCATAGAAATATATGACTTTCCATTTCACCACCTAACTTTGAAACACTTTTTTGTGTTTTTAAACTTTTTAAATTTAATTAATTTAAATTAATTTTTTAAAAAATTCTGAGAAGATGAGGATGGAATAATATATCCCTAGCATCATGCACAATGCCTGGATTTGCAGGGATGGAGGTGAAGCTCACAATAAGTATTTGTTAACAAATAAGAGAGTGATTTGTTATTGAGATCTTCATATAGTCAGTTGTAAAGTAAAAAGCTCTCTAAAAGCTGTGTTTCTTTTATTGCTTACAACTTTTTAGCAACTGAATGATGAGGCTCAATACATTATAAAAGAGTCAGAAGAGTTAAGTGGCAAAGGAGCCTCTGTGAAAGAGAAGTCTCAACAGCTGAAGGACCTAATTCACCTCCATCAAAACCAGAAAGAGAGAATCCAAGATTTCGAGGAGATCCTGTATAAGATTGTCCAGTTCCACCAAGTCAGAGAAGAGGTAAGACTTATCATGGATGTTTGGAAGACTCTCGGTTTTAAACTATGAAATTAAAAATAAATAATTGTGTAATAAATAAAGGCCAGATTGCTTATTCTGATATTAGAAGCTTTCCTCAGTCTGGCCCCTGACTTTTCTCTCACTGGGCCCCATTCTGCCCGATGTTCCAGCCAAAGTGAGCTCTCCTTGGGTCCCTCAAAGATGGTGTCCACATCCCTAATTCCAAGCCTTGACTCTTGGGCTGCCATTATCTGACAGGTCCTTCTGTCTCCTCTCTACCATCTAGGCCCTGTCCCTCCATCCAACAATCTACCTCCCTTGGAGTGATTTTTCTCTCTTCAAAATTCCTCGAACTCTTATTGTTTATTCCACACATCTGTCATTTTTAACATCTTGATTCTTAATTACTTTTGTTCCCCTAACTCAAGTGTAAGCTCTTTGAGGGAAGAAAACAATTTCTTTTATATCTCAAGTATCAGTAGAGTGCTCAGTAAAACTCCATAGTCTTTAGCCTCTATTAACAGAAAATGGAGACTTATTGAAATCCCTTGAAAATAGCCTCTGAATTTACTCAGATCACAGGCCTCATCTTGCTAAAGTTTTAGGCTGTGAGCGAACAGTGTTTTCTTCTTTAATAGAACTGACAGAGTTAGTCCCTCAATTTTACCCTATTGACTTTCAGCACTGTAACACTTATTTGTCTATAATACTAATAATTTTAGATGGGCTTGTCAGTGTTGACCTGCTAGTTAAATATGTTATAGGAAAGAAGTTTTTTTTTTTTAAAAAAAGCTATCTTTGAGAAAGACAAATACTGTATGATATCACTTATATGTGGAATCTGAAAAATACAACAACGTAGTGAATATAACAAAAAAGAAGCAGACTCACAGATATAGAGAACTAGTGGTGACCAGTGGGGAGAGGGAAGGGGGGAGGGGCAGTACGGAGGTAGAGGATTAAGAGGTACAAACTATTAGGTATAAAATAAGCTACAAGGTTATATTGTACAGTTTAGGGAATATAGCCCATATTTTATAGTAACTATAAATGGAGTATAACCTTTAAAAATTGTGAATCACTATATTGTACACCTGCCAGTTATATAATATTGTACATCAACTATACCTCAATGTAAAAAATCTGTCTTCATAAAAATACGAAGGTTAATTGTTAATGGCCTAAATTCCAGCTGGGACGACTCTTCAGATCAAGAGAACTGGAGTTTCTACAACAGCCAAAGGAAATGGTTGATGCTCACGATGCCCAGGTTCTCCTCAGTCGCTCTCGGGAAAAGCAGGCACACATAGACCATCTCCATAAACTGGCTCTTTCCTTGGGGGTGGACGTCATCTCGTCAGTTCAGCGGCCTGTAAGCAACTTCGAACACCACCATTTATACCTAATATAGCTCTCAGCTGGCCTGTAATATGAAAGAAACCAGGCGCATTGCCTGGTATACGTTAAATTAAAAAATACATTAAACCATTGGGCTACTTATTTGTGGTAAGTTTCTACCACATCCAGAGAAAAACATTTTAAGGAGAAAAATCTGATTTTAAAAGCCTTATTTGATACATCTATTCTCATGCTAATTTAAAAAAATCATAGAGGTGTGCTATCTATAATGGCAGTTAGTTTTTCACATTTGAAATATGCCTATTGCAATTAAGGGACTCAACTTTTAATTTTATTTAACTTTAATTAATTTAAATTTAAAACTGATACCCCAAATTGTAAAACTTTTAAGTATATTGGGAACAATTTGGGTATGTGCGTCTACTAAACTCTATGAGATTTGAGTGCCGATCAAGTATTTCTGATAGAAATTTAGCAACAATTGAGATATGCTCTAAGTGTGAGATACAGACTTGATTTCAAAGACTTAATATGAAAAAAACCTTATTAATGTTTCTTAATATTTGGTTACATGTTTGGATATGTGTTCAGTTAAACAAACTATATTATGAAAATTAATTTCAACTGTTTCTTTTTTACTTTTTAATATGACTACTAAGAAATTTAAAATTATTTATGTGGCTCAGTTGTATTTCTGTTGGACAATGCTGCTTTAGCACATCAGATCCAAAAGGTAGCCGAGAGATCGTTAGGCCCAGGGCCCTCAGAAAAGCTGCTTTATCCATAAAACCCCAGGGTAGAAAAGCCCAAGAACCCTGGCTCCACCCAGGGATCTGGGCACTCATCACTGGATCTGCTTTATTCCACTGGACTGACCTTACCAAAGGAGCCTAAAAGAGATGGAAATAATTCCAGATTAAATTTTCCTAAATAACACATTGGGCTCCGATTTTAAAAAAACTCCTTCTCCAAATTCTTAATTTGAGGGAAGAAAAGATTATGTTAATTCTATCCAGTATGTATAACATTAATAAAAATCGTAATGGCTGATTTTATTTCAAAGTTCATTTAAGATATCCACTAAACTATATGGAATTCAATGGATCTAAAGTATTTTCTTAACTGAAAGACACAAATACAAAATATCTGTCTCTGTTATAACAGAATGTTTTTCCCAAGAAGGACCTTTCTTTTTAAAGAGTTTTGTTTTATTAATAAATTTATTTTAAAAAGAAAAAAAAAACAAGTAAGACGTCTCACTTTGCACAAATAATGTAAATTGTTCTCCAGTCCGCATCTGGCCTTGGCCTCGGCAGCCCTCTGCGCTGAGTTGAGGTTGGAGCTCTTGCATAATAAACCTGAGGTCACGCTCAAGTTGACAGGAAAATTATAGTGCAGAAGCCAAATGTTTCTAATGCATATTTTATGCCTTTTGAAGTAAAAATTATACCTTATAATGAATAGCGTCTCTGAGGCGTTGGTTCTGGTGAACAAATCTTCAAAACTGAAGTTTCAAGACTGGAAATGTAAGGGTTTGTCTTTCCCAACATTGGGTGTTGGGTGTCTGGCTTCTTTCTGAAATCATTATATTCAAAGAAGCTTAAGGTGAAAGAAATCAGGAGCCTATTTTTTGATGTCATTTATGAGTTTCACAATGCAGGTAAATAGCATGTTGTTCTCATTGCTGTTTTGCCAGTTCCCTTCATCACTTCCCCTTCTCTTTCATTTTTAGAACTGCTCTAATGTTTCTGCAAAGCACCTGCAGCAGCAGCTGGACATCCTTGAGGGGGACAGTCTGAACTGGCGTGCCCAGGCTGAAGACCACGAGCGGGCCCTGACCCGCAGCCTGGAGTTCTGTACCGCAAGGGATGAGATGAGCGAGGTGAGAACACACACACAGACACACACACACACACACACACACGCACGTACACGCACACACGGACAGTGAATCAGGAGACTTTCTTTTTACCCTTGACCTTTAATCTGCCAAGCAATGGCCTCAGGGCTCAGAAAGATTGAGTAAACTTTAAGCTTCCAAACTTTTTGAGGTCAGTATATTGTCAATATATGGAAGAACCTAGAAGGTAGCATTCGGGTTTTTTGTTTGCTCCTCCCCAACCCACCCCAAACCCTCACAGCAGTTGTTTTGCTTGAGTGGATACACATCATCAGTGCAGAGTGATAGCATCCCGGTTCAGCCAGCTCCCGTCTGCGGAGATGCTATTTAAGTACCATTGACTCATGATGAAGGGGGTGCTAAGGGGAGCAGGCTTGTTGCTTCAGAGGCTACAAAGGATTATCACCAAAGTCAAGTGGCTGGTTTCATATTTACTCAAACTGAGTGACTTCTCTGGCAAAACAACGCCTAGACTCCATGCCCCCTCCTCCATACACAGTTAATTCCACCTCCTCTTCCTCAATTCTACCCAACCCCCAACCCCCAGACACATGCTGAACTTGAGCCACACCCTCCCAGAGTTAAACTTTCCATCTAAAGGTTTACTTGTTCTAGGAGAAAAATATAGCTTAGCGAGGGTCCTGGTTCCTTACTGGAACTGACAGCAGAACAAAAGGTACCACAATTCCAGATTTATCTCTGTTTAGAGCAAGACGTTTCTAAGTTCATTAATCACAAACCCATTAGGAAAGTGAGCGGAGGGAAAAAGATGTGGTGAACCTTCTTGATTTTTCTGTTTATGCCCTCTTTACACAATTTAGGACCAGTGAGTATCAAATATTATCAAACAACATTAGAGCATGGACTCAAGTATGAGTAACTAAACTTAGCAAGTGGTCTAGCCCTTTCATAGCCCACAGAGAAGTGCAGGAAAGGAGCATGGCTGGAAGGAAAGCAAGAGGGCGAGAGCAGGAGGGGCCGCTTGGATCCCATTCAGTGGGAGGGAAACAGGAAGCAGCATCATGGAGGGTTTTCAGTTGAGTGTGCCACAGGACTGTAGAGTTTCTGCTCTGAGTCTGTGTTTCAGGAGTCACTGTGGGCGAGACACTCATTAATTCACTCAGTGTTAAACCCCTAGTGTAGTCTGCCCTCTGTGTAGTAGAACGGCCTCTTCTGGGTCCTGTACTGCAGTTAGCACCACTTCAGCCAGATCACTTTAAGGAAAACAAACTTAATTCTCCTCAGGCTATAAAATTTAGATTCACAGCCATGGAAATAATTTTTTTTACTATCTTTCCCCAAAGTCGTTTTCTTTCTTCTTTTTCTTCCTCTTCTTCCTTTTTTTTTTTTT